GAAAGAAATTTTAAAAAAAAGTGGGGGGTTTTTTTTTTTTCCTTTTTTTTTTTTTTTTTTTTTTTTTTTTTAAGTATCTAGTTATGGGCACCAAGCCAAGTGAAGTTAGAAAATTCTTCTTCTAGGACAGGTGCCGCAGAGCTCATTCATGCAGAACCACAGCTTTGTGCCTCACCTCATTCGTGCTGTAAATCATAACATTGCCCTGCCCTGGAAATCATCTAATTTGTCTTCTCACTGGAGCAAAAAGCTGTTGTGCTAGAAAAGTAGAAAACAAATAAAAATGGGGGAATTTTCCATAAAGAACCAATTTTGAGAGCTGCTGGAAATGTCATATCATACCATTATCAGTTTCTTGCCCAAACATAAACATAACAAAACCTACTCAATATGTAAATTTAGCATAAGAGAACTTCTGGACAAGCAACCATTTCTTAAGGGATTAAGTATCCCTCTTCATGTAATTGCTTGGGATTTATTCCTATCATTAGTATTACTAGTATAGATAGGAGAACTTAGTCAGGGATTAGAATTGTTCTCGTTATTATACACACACAAACCTATATAGTTTATTTTATGATGCCCCTGTGAATGTAATATTGCAGTATACTCTATGTATTCCCTAACTCTCTACGAGAAGTACTCGATTAATTAAGAAAGTTTGAAATTGCTTGTTATACCTTTCATCCTGACACTCAAGTAAAAGCTGTTAGCTCTTTACCTGAGCTGAACAGAACACAAGTCAGACAAACAGTGAACACACTTTTGAGAATGCCTTAGTTCTACTAATAACTCACAGATGTTTGCTGATGACCACTAATGGTCAATAATTCTGTCTCAATGCCTTGGTTCAAAAGTATATGAGGCCCCTCTATAAAAGGGCACTCAACCTCTCCTTTCTGTACAAGCTGGGAACTAATCACAAAGCATCCTGCTGTATTTCTCCTAACGAATACCTGCAGTGCCGGCTCCAAGTGTACAATATGACTCTTATTGGCTTCAGCTGAGATCCACCGAGCAGTTTTGCTTAACTCAGGTTGCTGCTGTTTGAAAAAAGGACGTGCAAGAACTGAGAATTCTGGAGCTGTCTACAGTTTCAGGAAGCCAACACCGCAGTAGCTTTCAGTTGCGATACAATCTTCGTAACTGTAAGGGTTTGGGTTTTAGATGTCCCTCTCCCCCTCCTTTGGAAGGGTGGCAGAAATTTATCAGCTTTTCAAAACCTACCTACAAATCATACTGATTCCCACCAACCTTTGAATTCCTACAGATTAATAGAATAACTTCTTTCTATTGTCACAGCTTACATGAATAAGCAGCACCCTACAAAACCCAATAATTCAATACCCTGTCTCTGCAAGAAGTTAAACCAGAAAAGACACTTTAATGCTATCAAGAGTACAGCTAGGGTGTGGGGGAGAAAAAAGAAATAAATCAAGACACAGTTGCCATATCTACTTATAGGATTTACATGCAGGGTAGAAGACCAGTTAAACGCTAAAATACACTGAAATTAATATTGACTAGAAAAAACACTATACCAAAAATTTATGCAAAGAAAGTTTAAATTGTATCTGAAAACACATTTTACATCAACACAAAAGTTGTCTCAATGTTGCACAGGCAACTTTAAGAAGAAACACATTGTAAAAATTACATTCTGAAACGACTGCTTCAAAAAGATTTTTTCTTTTTGCTAAACTAAATGATTCATCACTATTTAATACAGAGCTTAAAGGAAGGAGGGCGCAAAAAGCAGCTCAACAGATGAAATGCCAGAGAACTTCTGAGGAGACGGCAATGATGACAAAAGGTTATCTGCAGGTTGGATAAGCCTACGAGGATCTTAAAAGTTTGCTGAAAAAAGGCAGAAGACTGCAGAATCACAGAACGGATCTCCTCCTTATTTGGTCGTTCACTAGCAGACCCAGGCATCCTATGCAAGTTCATTAAAGGCTGGTTTGCCAAGCCTCGTCTTGGGTGAACAGTTAAAATACAAACACCATTATGTTACGACATTTCAATCCCATGTCAAATGCCCATCTCATTCTCTACTCATCTGTCCAAGACAAAAAAAAAAATGTACACAAGAGAAGGCACAGCAGAACTGCTGTAGATGAGGACCTAAGTGTAAACTACCAAGAAAAGGATATACTCCAAACTCCCAGAAGAAACTGGGACGCACCCCCCCACACACTCTTCCACAAACACTGTTCCTATGGAAAGACACTGAAAAGGACTGACAGATCAGAAAGTGCATGAGAAGACACCAGAAAGGATGAAATGGAAACTAAGAGAAAAACAATGCCAAATAAAAAAGATGAGAAACAAGCACTAAATTTACTACCAAACATACCAAGGATGGTATTGAAAGGTACAACAAGATAACAAAATAACAAGTCAACATGGTAAGAGGACAGCATTTTGAAAGGAGCAAGACATATGAAAGCAGAATATGCTTATCAAAGCTACACAAAAATGTCAAGAGATGAA